ATCATATTAGGCTCTAGTCTTCCTCCCAAACGTTTGCTATAGACTCTATGGAGAGAATTTAGCAATCATTTCACTTTTTAAAAATAATTTAAAAATTTCTATCAGTGTGTCATGATGGTCCTTATCAGCTATTTTTAAGTTCATAACTTAATATTAGTCAATGTCATTCATTCATTAATTGTCATTAATTTTTTCAAACTATTGCTGTTGTATAGTGACATAAGGTCACTGTCGTACAGAAGGAAGGCCAAGATGCTGTCTAGTCTCTAAAGGCTGTTTGAGAGATTTAGCTGTTACCCGCAGGACAGGCAATAAGCCCTAGCAACTGTCTCCATGGCAACCCCTCGGTGACCCCGTACCTGAGGGTGAGGTGAGAGTGATGTGCAGGTCTCCCCTCCTGGTGTAGTCAATGCTGGCCTCCATCTGCACATGCTCCAGGGACTTAATGAAGTTCTCCTGCCCGGCACAGGCTTTAGTGGGGATTTCAATGGCGATCTCACCAGCAGCCTTTAAAACCCTGGAAAAAATAAAAGCAAATGATGTCCAAATGACTCTTTGAGAATTTGGGTTAATCTCTCTCAGTGAATTAACAGATTTCCCCTTCCTGCACAGGAAGGGGACAAAACCCTGCAATCCTATGGAATTAGTGGCTTTGCTTTGTTCTGCAAGCTGTCAAAGTGATTGTGTATCGTTTGGAGTTTACGGGTGCTTTCTGCTATTTACAAATTTCTACAGAAAAACAAGTTTCACATCTGGTCTGTGGGCTGTGGCGGACGGTGTCGCCCCGCTGTGTGTGCATTCTCTCGGGGCTGTGACAGACCTGAGCGTCCTTCAGGATGGGAGCTCTAGGGTGAATAGAGATGGCATGGCCCACTGGCTTGCCTTTCTGTTTGCCCAGAAGGTATAAAATCATTCAGGCATGAGGTGTGTTAACTGCCCGAGAGCTGGCCAGCAAGCACTGATTGGCCAGCGTGCTCCCCTGAGGATTCTCCCACACAGTTTCCACTGTAGTGACGCCAGTGGCACCGGGTGCAGTAGTGCAGGTCCTGACTGACAGGATGCAGACTGCAATACCTTCCTAGGGTCCACCATGCCAATTCCAGAGCAACAGTTTAAGACCAGAAAAAACTGACAGCATCCAGAAATATCAGCCAGACTTCACACGAGAGGAGGTCAGTCTGCCCCTGTAACTGGCTTGGTTGTTCCTAGCTAAGCAAGCTCTGCCTCTGATTCCCTCTCCTGTGAGGCAGATGCTTGCTCATGCTGCTGTTAAAGAGCGAGCAGCAGGCAGGGTGGGGCTGCAGTGTGCCAGTGACAGACCAGGCGCAGGGCTGCATGCACAGGCTGCAGTTGTGTCTCCGCAGAGCCGCCTGGCCGCTGGACTGGCCAGGGCCAGAGAAAGACATGCGTCCCGCCCTCTCTGTGCAGCCAATCGGTCAGTCATTGCTTTTCCACAGAGACCTCCATCTCCTCAGGGCTTGGGACAGCAGGGCTCAGGCCAGCTCTTAAAACTGTGCATGTACTATATGAGACACTCCTTCACTGTGCACCTCTGCACACTTGTACAAGAGGGTGGCATGATCACAGTACAGGCCCACCATCGCTCAAGCAGTCACTGCTCATCATCCAGGAATACGGAGGGGCTGAGAGAGGCTCACTCCAAAAAAAGCAAAGCCTCAGGCTTCTGTCTGGCCTCTGTCTGGCCATATCTACAACTAGATCCACGTGCCTGAATGTATGAAGATTCACAGCTGGAGTGGACAGCTGTCTAGACACAGGGAGACAAACAGACAGATCCTGCCACAGATCAGAGTCCATGCAGCAAACCTAAACTCTAACTGACTGCTTTGTTTACAATCTTCACCACGTTTGCAAGTGCCTGTCCTGGAATAATCATACCTCGAAATCTGTAAGCTCTTCAGCACCAGTTCTTTCAGTGCCAGGATTTGTGGTTCTTCCAACAACAACAGCTGAAGCACGATGCCTGCTACAGTACATCCCTCTCTCTCTGGGTTACACCTGGCAAGTGCAGGCCATGTGCTGCCACCTGAAACAGGCTTATCCCTGTTGTTCCGGTGAACAGTTACAGTTACAGATGGCAGATCAGGGGGACTTGACCTGTTTGTTGAATAACAGAACCCAATGTCTGTCTATAGGGAAACGGAGAGGAAATGAAACAGAATATGAAGGCTTTATGCTGGTGGTGTAACAGCAATTGTAAGACTGCTATTGGCAAACAAGACTGGGATTCACAGTGGTGCTCATATTAACTCAAGAGCATAATTACGCCATGTAATTACAAGGGAGGCAAATGAATGCGTGGAAACAGATTCTGCCGCTCTGGAAGGAGCTCTGTTTGGCATGCAGCTGAGAAATGCACTGCCAGGGGTTTACAAATATTATAGTTTCCACTGGCCCACGTGGGAAATACCTGCCTCGACTCTAAGAGCTGTTTCAGTATTTTCAGTTCTGCGAAAGGAGAATTGCTCTTTTATTAAACAAAAAAGACATCGAAGGTGCTCAGAAGAAGGTACGTCAGGAGATGTGCAGAGCCAATGACAGTAAACTGTATAGAGGGATTTTGCTGTGGCAGAGCAGCGAGCTTAAGGAGGGTCACAGACCCAGTTACCCATTCTGCCTGCCTGGCAGTCAAGACACTCGTGCCACCTGCCAGCCGAAGGGCCTCCAGGCAGGATCTGTGATGTCTGCAAAGTAGGGCCCTTTGTTGTCTCCAGAAACATTCCTTATTCCTCTTAAAACTGTGCGTGTACTGTGTGACACAACACCACTTTACATCTAAAACTGGTTTGTAATAGGCATGAATTATGAAAATACAGCAGTAGGGGTTTAGTAATAGTATCATAGTATAGGCAGGGGTAGGAAAGCCCAGTTTCAAAACTGTATAAAACACACACAGACAGTTATCGATCCACCCATTCTCCAACTGCTTGATCCAACACATGGCTGCAAGGAACTGGCGTCTGTCCCAGTGAGGGGCTCACACAGACACAGATACTGTACTTGTCTTCCCAGAAGCCAATTATCCCTCAGTGTGTCTTTGTACTGTGGGAGGACACCGAAGCACCTTGCAGGAACCCACACAAACATGGGGAGAACACACAAACTCCACACAGACAGCACCCCAGGGCTCCACCATACCACCCTATTCACAGCTGAAATGAAATTTATAGCTCTATATTTATAGAACTGTTTGATTACTAACAAAACACGAATATGCTGGTGCAGATGCAAGATGGAATTTAATTGCATCAAGCTGGACCAATTTTAAACCAAAACTGTCTCTTCCAAAACTTAGCATGTGTCACCCAGAAAAGACTGAGTCAGACTGAGTCAGTGTTGAGTGTTCAGCAGCTGCTTCACTCTGTAATTGAGTAAACAGGCTCAATTGTAAGATCTGAGTGATTACAGTGACACTCCCACACTGTAATCACCCAATCAATACACCAATCACAGATTAATTACTGATTCTATTTTGTTTCAGACATCGTTGCAAACATATCATGACACGATCTGTGCAGCTCTACTGGAAAGCAGCACAATCACATCGGATTATTGTGGTGAACTGCACAGTAATTCACCACAGTTTCCTACTATATATTAGCACCAGCTTGCCTCGTCTTCCACCGTTTTCCTTCTGTTTTCTGTGCTTCCACATGAAATAACTTCACAATTCCACAATGTGCTGTCGTAAGTGTTTGCAAAACGAATTCTTTTTGACGTTAGCAGCACAGTGGAGTGGCGCACGGGTCCCAGACAGAAATCCATCCATTTTTGCAGCCACTTTATCCAGTTCCGGGTTGCCAGAACCTATTCTGCCACAAGTCAGGACACGCTCTGGATGGGACACCAGTCCTTCACAGGACACACACACACTCACACCAGGGCCAGTTTTCCCAACAGCCTACTACCATACCAGTCTGTCTCTGGACTGTGGGAGGAAACCCACACGAACACAGGAAGAACATACAAACTCCACACAGACAGAGCCCAGGAATCAAACCCAGGGCCCCGGGTCAGCGTTGCGGCCTCACAGCGCCTTCCCCAGACAGTAATATCCCAGGGCAATGAGAATGAGAACGATGACTGCGATCGGTAACTCTAGAGACCGGACGTGGCCGGTCTCACCGCCGTTCATTTCCAAATTCTGCCAGCCTGACCCACAGCGCCCTGCCCCAGTCTGCAGCATGCCTGCGAGAGGGAGAGCTGTTCGGGTACCTGGGTTCGAACGTCTCGTCCTTGACGATGCACTGCTTCTTCTCCGGCACGTGCGTCCACACCTGCGGGTCAGCCAGGTCCACCAGGGCCTTGGCGTTCAGGAGGCCGAAGCCGAACCGGCTGTTGACCATCAGCCCGGCACCGTTCTTTTTCCAGCCCGGGTTGTTGGCCAGGGGGTCGTACTCCGAGGTCCACACTACCAGGTGCTGCAGGTCACGCCAGGTCAGGTCGGGGCTGCAGCCAGGCACAGAGGAGCAGCGGCAGACAGGAGTCAGACAGGAGTCAGACAGGAGTCAGACAGGAGTCAGACAGGAGTCAGACAGGCCCGGCGGCCCTGCTGGGGTCACCACTGCCCCGCCAGAGCCTTCAGGCTTCTCTCTCCCACAGCTCACAGCGACCTGACTGACTCATTCGCCTAGCTCACAGTGTGCTAACCTACATTCTGAATCACGTTCGTTGCATAAAAAGATAACTTGAAAAATGTGTGAGATGTGGATCTTGGGGTCCAGTGAAGTTAAGTCGTCCCCTGCCTTCAGTGACTGGGAGCCCCCAGGAGCCAAGCTGAGGTCACCCTGCACTGCAGTGTTGAGAACTGGGCAGCAGGAGAACTTCAGTTGTAGGAGAAGTACCCCCAGAGGAAAAGTCTCATATATCTGTAACTATCCTCCGAATTCAAAAGCTTTAATCATTATCTCTTTGTTCTCCTAAGCTCTCATTAAAACTAATTATTTCTTTAAGCAATGAAAATGGGAG